ACTTGTCTTTGCAGTTAATGTTCTGAAGCCAAACCATCAGATGTCATTCATGGTAAACAGCAGATCCCTATGCTGTACTGACTCTTAAATCTCACTGCCAAACAGTAACTGAGAATTTCCTTGGGTACTTAGTGCCAGAATCCATCACATGTTCTCAAGGTAATTATTCAGTGGTGTTTGTTCCTGAATGTTTGTGGAGGGATTAGTCCTGAGTACACGCGATGGTCACAGGGCTCTCCTTACATAAGCAATCCCCCTCACTGTTGATCATAGTAGCATTTTCAATCTTACATTCTGACAGTGTAAACCAGGGGAGTGACAAAAGACAATCAAATTCCATGGATAAATTTGGTCTCCATACACAGAATGCTTTAAATATAATGTTTAAATGTTCATTAAATCATGGGTGAGTGAGATAGAAGAATTTCAATCTCAAAGGCAAGACTCACACCTTCATCATTTTGATATTTCTGGGTTAATGCTATTATTGGCAAATTCAACAGTTATTCCACTCAAAGTCCGTTCCTTATCCAGCTTCGCACACGCACCCCCAACTAAACCCAATCATTTTGCGTTTGACTAATGTGACTTTGGGAGTGATCCAGGAACCTCTGTTGTCAGTCATTGGTCTCCAGGTTCACCCTCACAGACTCCACTTTTGCTGGTGCACGACGTAGATAGTCATTCCCCGTTCTCCTGCTCAGTCCCCTTCCAATCAAGTCAGTCAAATCTGGAATTCAAAACCCCTCTGCTCCCCATGGGTTGAAACCAAATTCCCAAATGCATTCGCCAAGCAATGATAGTTTGTACAATTCTCCAGGGCTGACAGTGTTTGCTGTTAAAGATCATGGTTACAAATGCAAGGGATTCCATTTTCCCTGCCTAAACCTCTTTATGCAAATGTGGAGTTGTTTGTCAGTAAATCACAACATGTATCATTATGTCGCATGTTTGGAACACCCAAATGATCACATAATCTTTCAGGTTACATCATGTGTTTAAATCTTTAGCATTAGTACAAACTGAACTGTAAGAGCATAAGATATTGGAGCAGATCTGATCATCCTCAGTCCCACTTTTATTCCTATAAACCTTTGATTCCCTTACTGATTAAAAATCTCTTCATCTCAACCTTGAATATGCTTAACGACTTGGGCTCAATAACCTCAACAGTCCTATGCAGTCAAGAATTCCACAGATTCATTGCCCTCTGAAAGAAAAAATTCCTCATCATATCTGTCTTAAATGAGTGACCCCTTAGTCTGAGATCATACCCCCTGGTCCTAGACTCTCCCATGAGGGGAAATAGCCTCTCTGCATCTGCCCTGTCAAACCCTCATAGGCATAGGGTCATAGAGATCTACAGCACAGAAAAAGGCCCTTTGGCCCATCATGTTTGTGCTAGTCAAAAACAACCACCTCACTATTCTAACCCCATTTTCCAGCACTTGGCATTGAAAATGCCCATCCAAATACTTCAAAAATCTCTAAAAATCTTGTATATTTCAATAGGGTTGCCTCTCATTCTTCTAACTACAATGAATATAGGCCTAATTTACTCAACTCCCCCTCATAAGAAAGTCACACCCTTCCTGGGATCAACCCAGTGAAACTTCTCTGGGCTGCCTCCAATACTGGTATATAGAGTCATAGAGATGTACAGAACAGAAACAGACCCTTTGGTCCATCTCATCCATGCCAAACAGATATCCTAATTTAATCATCTGTCCTTAGATAACGGGACCAAAACTCTCACAGCACCCGGGACCCAGGGTCAATTCCAGCTTTGGCAACTGTCTGTGTGGAGTTTGCACGTTCTCCCCGTGTCGGCGTGGGTTTCCTCTCGGTGCTCCAGTTTCCTTCCACGGTCCAAAGGTGTGCAGGGTAGGTGATTGGCTATGCTAGATTGCCCGATAGTGTCTAGGGATGTGTAGTTTAGGTGGATTAGTCACAGATAATGCAGGGTTACAGGGAAAGGGTAGGAAGGTGGTTCTGGGTGGTATGCTCCTAAGAAGGTCAGTGCAGACTCAATGGGCTAATTGGCCTGCTTCCACACTGTAGGGATTCTGCCATTATATCAGTATCAGTAACTGATAGAAGCATATAATGGAGGTGCTGCACTGTAGGCAGACAATGTGGGAACACCAGCATTTCAAATATATGCTCACTCATTTGTTGGGCGTGGATTATGACAGTATAGTCTCAGGGTGAGGTGACTTGTATATTTGGAATCAAATATTAAAAAACTGACAAACAGCTCTGGATCCATCTACTGCAGAAGCATTCTCCTTTGGCAGTGTACAATTTCTCAGTATTCTAGAATAGTGTTACATCCTCTGAGCACGTCAATCTCCAACTAGATCAAAAATGTCCTCCTCCTAAAGAAATCAGCATTCACCAATCATCAGGGTGCATGTATTTAATGATTAGACATGAATCTCTTGACTAGCACTAACTTTGCCAATGGGACCTCGATCATAAGCCTGTCTCTCAAAACTGCTATTGGAATTGGTCCAGGCAATGTTTCTAACTGGGCACAGGTCATACATGCTACTTTCTCAAAGGGTCATAAATCTGTGGAATTCACTACACCAGAGGCCAATGAATGCTGGGCCACGGAGTAAATTTAAGGAGGAGATAGATTTTTGATTAGTAATGGGTTGAGGGGTTATTGAGAGCAGGCAGGAAAGGGGAGTTGAGATCAAGATGAGATCAGCCACAATTGTGAATGGTATAATTGTCTACTCCTGCTCCTAAAATGTATGTTTTTATTAAACAAATGAAACCCGAAAGAACTGTGGATGCTGGAAATCAGAACAATCAAGCTATTTTAGGGCTTGAGGCCATTTTCCTACCCCAATCCCCTACCTCACCCCCCTATCCCGCCCCCACACACCAGGCCTTGTCATCATAGAGTCATAGAGATGGACAGCATGGAGACAGGACCTTCGGTCCAACTTGTCCATGCTGACCAGATATCCTATATAAATCTAGTCCCATTTGCCAGCATTTGGCCCATATCCCTCTAAACCCTTCCTATTCATATACCCATCCAGATGTCTTTTTAAATGTAATTGTACCAGCCTCCACCACTTCCTCTGGCAGTTCATTCCATACATGCACCACCCTCTGTGTGAAAAAGTTGCCCCTTAGGTCCCTTTTAAATCTTTCCCCTCTCACCTTAAACCTATGCTTTCTAGTTTTGAACTCCCCCACCCTGGGGAAAAGACCATGTCTATTCACCCTATCCATGCCCCTCATGATTGTATAAACCTCCATAAGGTCACCCCTCAGTCTCCAATGCTCCAGGGAAAATAGCCCCAGCCTATTCAGCCTCTCCCTATAGCTCAAACCCTCCAAAGCATATATGTTTCTACCATACAAAACATGTTGTCAGCTTCTCATTGCCCCAGTCAACAGCTATTCCTTCCCCCAGACTGACCTTTAACCACTCCTTCGTCTGTCCAACTGTTTTTCTCTCTCTTTGGTCTCTATCTCCACCTATCGCTTACTCTCTCACCCCATCTTCTGCATAAATATCAACCTTTTCCTAGCTACCATCAGTTCTGATGAAGGGTCACTGGACACGAAACGTTAACTCTGCTTTCTCTCCACAGATGCTGCCAGACCTGCTGAGTCTTTCTGGCAACTTCTGCTTGCGTTTTTGTCTCATGTTCTTATGTTGTAGATCCTCTGTTTATCATTTGTCACTGTCCCTTATTGATATTAGCTGGGGGGATCTGTGTTAGTCGGGATGCATGAGGATACCATCGCTCATTTCCTGCAGTTAAGAAGATGTCAGCATCGGGGAAATGAAGGGAAACATAGAAAATAGGGGCAGGAGTAGGCCATTCAGCCCTTCGAGCCTGCACCACCATTCAATTCGATCATGTCTGATCATGCAATTTCAGTATCCCATCCCCACTTTCTCTCCATGCCCCTTCATCCCTTTAGCTGCAAGGGCCACGTCCAGCTCCCTCCTGAATATATCAAATTAATTAGCTGCAATAGCTTCCTGTGGAAGAGAATTCCACAGGTTCACAACCCACTGAGTGAAGAAATTCTTCATTACCTCAGTGTTGAATGGTTTACCCCTTGTTCTAGACGGTGGCACTTAGGGTAGGTGAGAGTGCCAAAGAGCATAAATCCATGGAGCTTTGTTATACTGTCTGAGTGATCAATCAAAGGGAGTCACTTTTCAAAACCAGTAAAGTCAACAAACAACATTGTGATGACCCAGCTTTGGAGGAGTCAGTGGGACCAAAAAGCAGCAACTGGGAGCATTTCCTGCTGAAAAGACCATACACTTGCACACTGGCTCCATGTGTATATGTCTTACCATAACTCCTGGATAGAGTTTGCCATCATCCATTCAGCTTGATTCATCAGCTGTGGGAATAGTAGATGTTCAGGTAAGGTCATTAGAACATAAAGAATGTAGGAAGCAGATTTGTGTTTGAGCACTGATCCTTTCATTCCTGGAACCAGGATTCAGACTCAATCATGACCATGAATTACTTTCTCTCTCTCACACACCCACAATTGCATCATTGCCAAGGACTGATTATATTTAATGTATTGAAACTGAGGTGTGCTGTACCACCTTCTATCTTAACTCATTCTGTGCTGGCACCAACTCCAAATCTAAGTATCCTTTACTTCCCTTTCTCATAGAATCCCTACAGTGTGGAAACAGGCCCTCCAGCCCAACAAGTCCACACCGATCCTCAGAGCATCCCACCTCAGACCCATCCCCTAATCTACACATCCCTGAACACTACAGGCAAATTAGCATGGCCAATCCACCTCGCCTGCACATCTTTGGACTGTGGGAGGAAACCAGAGCACCCAGAGGAAACCCAGGCAGATTCGGGGAAAACACAGACAGTCGCTCAAGGGCAGAATCGAACCCGGGCTGCTTACCACTGAGCCACTGAGCCACCGTGCCTCTCTCTCTCTCTGAGTTCTTCTGCGACTCATGTGAGAATCTTGACTCCAGTTCAGGAGGTCTTATAAGCAAAGTCCTCAAACCCCGTGAAAACACTGAAATATACTGCAGATGCTGGTGATCTGAAATATTTGGAAGAATAGTCAAATCAGACTCGCAACATCAACTCTGTTTCTCTCTCCCCAGATGCTGCCAGAGTTTCTCCAGCAATTTCCATTTTTATTCGATGATAACACAGTCTGGCCACTGATACAGCACCAGGTTTACTTTTGTGGACTTTTATTTCCACAATCAAACAGTATGAAAAGAAGCCATTCAGCCCACTGTGTTTGTACTAGCTCAGTACTAGCTCTGGGCAATGCAATGAGTCCTACTCCCCCATGCATTCCCCAGCAATTCACTTTCCTTTTCAAGTAGCCATCCAATTCCTTGTAAGAGTCGCCAATGAATCAGCTTCCACTGCTCCTTGCTGCAATGCTTCCAAATCAGAATAATTTGCTGCATTTAAAAAAAAAATCACCCCCAGCTCCCAATCAGTCTTTTTGACAGTTATCTTAGTTATGGAATTTAAAATATTCAATCATCAGTGAAAGGAACCGACACTGCATCCTGTGCTTTAGTCGAAAACATTACAACCCACAGTATTTGACTGGAGATCGTATTATCAAACTTGTTTTAATTTATGATCCCTGTGTCAATTGCAAGATGAGGCTGCACTGACTTCAGCAATCTGCTGATTCTGAAAACTGTGACGTGGGATCACCGTGGGCCATATTGCATATACCATATAGGTGTAGCATTTTCCAGTGCAGAGTGAATGAAGTTTTTAAGCGAGTGCACTGGTCCCAATGTCCTTGGATGGCAGCTTCCAAACACAGGATTTCCATCAACTCGAAGGAACAGGGTAGGAAATGCGTGGGGGCACTTACCTGGGTGAATGTAGCTCCAGAAAAATCAAGAAGCGTGATACCATCCAGGACAAAGCAGTCCGTTTGATTGGCATGACATCCACAAGCATCCACTCCCCCTAACACTGACACTCAGTAGCAGCACTATGGACTCTCCACAAGATGCACTGCAGAAACTCAATGAGACTTCTTAGATAGTATCTTCCAGACCCAGCACCCAGAAGGAAAAGGGAATATCTTCACTGCAATTTCCCCTCCAAGTCAATCACCATCCTGAATCAATAATATTCCACTGTCTCTTCAGAATCATTAGGGTCAAAATCCTGGAACTCCTCTGAGTGCGTGTCCCTACACCATACCAACTGCAGCAGTTCAAGAAGGCAGCTCACCACAACCTTCTGAGGGGCAACTAGGGATGGACAATAAACACTGTCCCAGCTGCAAAGGCTGTATCCTATGGACATCTTTTCTTCTTAAGTGGGGTTAAGTTACTATTTGCAGCTGTCATCATGGCTCGGCAATTTTATTCAGTCCTTGGCTGAGTCGTCCAAACCAGCCCTCAGGCTCACTCCTGGAAATGTGCTGAATGAACTGATATCAAACGAGATTGTGGTAAGAGATTTATAATAGAGCTGGCTCCTCACGACCCCCTTCCTGTTGAAGGTATATCTGTTTCTGTGTATGTGTGTGTGTATGCATTTGTGTGTGTATATCTTTTTGTATGTGTGACTGTATCCATGTGACTAAATGTGCACATGTGTCTGTGTGTGTTTGTGTGTGTACTTATTTCTGTGTTTGAGCCCATGTGTACTTGTTTGTGTGTGCCTACGTGTGACACTGTGCATCCATGCATGGTTCTGACTGTCTGTGCTTGTGTGTGTTTCTGTGTGTGCTAATTTGCGTGTGTGTATTTTTCTGAGTGTTTCTGTGTGTGTTCCAATGTGTGTGTGTTTCTGTGACTGGAGTGTGAGGGCAGAGCTCCCAGCTCTGGGTTCCTTCTTCAAACTCATAGAGTAATACAGCAGGAAACAAACCCTTCACTCTAATTAGTCCATGCCGATCATGTTCCCAAACTGAACTAGTCCCATCTGCCTGATTTTGGCCCATATCCCTCCAAACATTTGTTATTCATGTACTTACCCAAATGTCTCTTAAACATTGTAACTGTACCCGCATCCACCACTTCCTCTGGAAGTTCATTCCAAACATGAACCACTCTCTGTGTAAAAAAAAGTGTCCCCCATGTCTTTTTTAAATCTTTCTCCTCTCACCTTAAAAATATGCCCCCTAGTTTTGAAATACCCCACTCTAGGGAAAAGACACCTGCCATTCACCTTGTCTATGCCTCTCATGCTTTTATAAACTTCTATAAGGTCACCCCTCAACCTCTTAAGTTTCAGTGAAAAAAGTCCCAATCTATCCAGCCTCTCCTTATAACTCAAACCCTCCATTCCCGGCTACGTCCTGGTAAATCGTTTCTGAACCTTCTCCAGCTTAATTATATCCTTCCTATAGCAGGGTGACCAGAACTGGACACAGTGCTCCAGAAGAGGCCTCACCAATGTCTTGTACAGCCTCAACATGATGTCCCAATTCCCATAATCAAAGGTCTGAGCAATGAAGGAAAGCATGTTAAATGCCTTCTTAACCACCCTGTCTACCTGGGATGCAAACTTCAAAGACCTTTAGTCACTGAGTCATATCTTATCTCTGTAACAAAAGGAGTTGTTTGTACTTGTCAAATCAGATAATGAAAACTGGAATCCTAATCAGGATAGGTACTTTGTTCTGAGAGCTGTAAGGGAATTTGGTAAATGCAGATTGGAGCAGAGAGGGTTGAAGTTGGATTGACCCTGCAGTGCTGGAAAATGATGGAGAAAGATTTGAGTTTAACCACTGCCCACAATTGCATTCAAATGCACTCAAAATTCCACTGATTGATTTGCAAGTCACATTATCCATGAAATATTATTTGTGTAATCTCAAACTTTATGAATGGCACTATCACAGAACGGAATCAGTGTCAGTGATATATTTAAAAACTGAAAGAACTGCGGATGCTGTAAATCAGGAACAAAAACAGAAGTTGCTGGAAAAGCTCAGCAGCTCTGGCAGCATCTGTGAAGGAAAAAACAGAGTTAACGTTTCGGGTCCGGTAACCCTTCCTCAGAACTGAACCCTTCCAGTTCTGAGAATGGGTCACCGGACCTGAAACGTTAACTCTGCTTTTTCCTTCACAGATTCTGCCAGACCTGCTGAGCTTTTCCAGCAACTTCTGTTTTTGTTTGTCAGTGATATATTTTCCTTTAAGAAGTATTCCCAATTTATTTTGGAATGCAGGGAAGAGGAGCAGGATTGGTCATTCGACATCCCCTCAAACCATTCATTCCGAACTTGACTGACTTTCTTCCTCAATGGCATTTTCCTGTACTGCCCTCAAAATCCTTGACATTATCAATATCCAGAAATCGATCAATCTCTGTCTTCAAAGTACTAAGTGACTGATGTACCAAAGGCCTCTGGGATAGAGAATCTCAAAGATCCACCACCCTCTAATTGAAGAAATTCCTCCTCATCTCAGATCTAAGTGGCTTGACCCTTATTGATAGAATCGTAGAATCCCTACAATGCAGAAGCAGGCCATTCAGTCTATTGAGTCTACCTTCCGCAGAGCATTGTGAGACTGTGACTACTAATTCCAGATCCCTCAGCCAGGAGGCAAACATCCTTCCTGTATTTACCTGGTTGTGCCCCATAAGAATGTTCTCCGTGTCAATAGGGTTACCTCTCATTCTTTTAAACTTCAAAGAATACAAGCCCAGTCTCCTCAATCTCTCCTTATGGATAATCTCACCATCCCAGGGATACGATTTATGAACCTGTATTGCACTCCATGAATGATAAGTACCCCCTCCTCAGATAAGGAGATCAAAACTGTACACAATACCCCTGGTGCACTCTCACCGAGGCTCAATCAACTGGACTCAAATATTTTTCAATGAAGGTCAACTTGAGAGCAGTAATCACATGCATTTCAACTATTCCTGCTGAAAATGGGTACATCAGCAAAATGAAGAATGTTTAATAAATTTCCAGTTCTTTTGCTGCCAATAAACCAACTTTAATGAAAATGGCATTTTATTACAAAAAAACTGTCATGAACTATTTTAATAGTTTTATTGTTGGACATTGGCCGATTTTGCAGTAGCAAATATTTTCGAATGTGGTAAATATCCTTTAACACAAAGTATAAACTGCACAAGAAAGTGTAATTCATAACGTTTTAAGGCTTGGAAGCTTTGTGATTAATTGGCTAATCTTATTTTTCAAGAGTTCACGCTTTAATCTACTGACACCATTTCAAGCAGTTTCAGCATTTTTTGGCACAGCAGTAGTATAGCATAAACAGCATTAGCATTGAATAAACTTTCTGAATTAGACTTTTATATGCCATTAATGGATTTTCCATCCTGTGCTCACCCACTTTTATAAATGTTTAAAGCTAAACAAGTAATTGTCTAAACATCCTGTATGGTGAATGAGCGCCCCCTCGTGGTGCTTGACCATTGACATCAATTCACTTCCTTTCATGAGATGTCATAGAGGTCTATAGCAAATAAAAAGGCCCTTCAGTCTATCGCATCTGTATTGGTCAAAATCAACCCCCTAACTATTCTAATCCCATTTTTAAGTTCTTGGCCTTGTATGCCTTGACATGTGGGCATTTATTGCCAATCTCCAAATGCCCTCGAATGGTGCGCTAGACCATTTCAGAGGACAGACCAGAGTCGATGACTTTGCTGTGGGTCTGGAGTCATGTGCAGGCCACACCAGGTAAGGATGGCAGATCTCCATCCCTGAAATACGTTAGTGAACCAGAACAGTTGTAACTAACAACGACACATGTTACATGGTCACCAGTAGATAACTATTTTAGTTCTAGATTTTTTAAAATTGTTGAATTCATATTTCCACCACATTCAAACCCACATCCCAGAACATTAGTCACTACCTCTGCTTTGAGATACTCTATGTGACACCAAAGTAATATCTGTCATCACATGACTTCTGCAAAATGCAATGAATCAAACCAGTCACTGGTTAGTTTTCTGCCTTTATTAATACTGAGCAACATACTGGGACTGTGGCTAACACACTGCTACTTAAACAGCTGCAGGAAGATTTTGACAGTGCAACAATGCCTCGTCACCCAT